CAGACACACAGACACACACACACACACACACAGACACACACACACACACACACACACAGACAGACACACAGAGACACACAGACACACACACACACACACACACACACACACACAGACACACACACACACACAGACACAGAGACACACAGACACACACAGACACAGACACACAGACACACACACACACAGACACACAGACACACACACACAGACACACACACACACACAGACACACACACAGACACACACACACAGACGCACACACAGACACACACACACACACACACAGACACAGACACACAGACACACACACAAACAACACACAGACACACACACACACACAGACACACACAGACACAGACACACACAGACAGACACACACAGAAACACACAGACACACACACAAACACAGACACACACACACAGACACACACAGACACACATACAGACAAACACACACACACACACACACAGACACACACACAGACACACACACACACACAGACACACACACACACACACACAGACACACACACAGACAGACACACACACACACACACACACACAGACACACACACACACACACACACACACACACACACACACACACACAGACACACACACAGACACAGACACACACACATACAGACACAGACAGACAGACACACACACACACAGACAGACACACACACACACACACACACACACAGGCTCGCAGAGCTCGGTCTGTGGGTCTGACCCTGAGGGGATATTTCCACGTCTGCGTCGATGATTCAGACGAGGTTAATAACCATTAACAAGTTAAAATCCTTTGATGTTTGTGTGTGCGCAGGTCTCCATAGGGAAGATGTACGAGGCCCAGAAGACTGTGGTCGATTAACAGGAGGCGGAGTCAGACAGAATTGACATCAGCGAGCAGATCACTGCCCCGACCTCCAAAAGCAAGAACGCCCAGCAGCTCCTCGTCTGGATTTAAACTCTTTAATGTCACTGTGAACGGGTGGGAGAGGGGAGATGCATTATGGGAGATGTAGGAGGGTAGAGGTGGAGTTTAGTGCTTGAGTTTTGTTTTCTGGGACACACCAATCAGAACGTTTGATGAGTCACGGGTCAGCGATGATGCGTTCACTGAGAAACTGAAACATTGGTAAATAAATTCACTTTAATCAGAGTTGGAGCAGATTTTCAGTTTAAAAGCCTCCAGATGAAATAAAGATGAATGAAGCGTTCGAGTGTTTGAGTCTGAATCACTGTGTGCACTGACGCTCAGCAGGTTGCTGGTTCTATGCCAGCTGTCGCAGGTGAGAGGCGGTACACCTGGACAGGTCGTCCTGCATGTCTGCAGGCTGCAGCAGGGAGGACATGCTCCACACAGAGAGGCCTCCACCTGCTGGGAGGTGATGGTGCTAACCTCTGCACCATCGCACCTCTTCAGCTGCTGCGAGGTTAATGATGCTAACACACCGCTGGAACCGGCCAATGAGCATGTTTGAACACACCTGAGTCCAGCTGTGAGCTGAAGCGTGGTCAGTGGGAGGAGGAGGTGGAGCGCTGCTAATAATAGAGCCTTGTTGGTTTAAGAGTGACCCAGTTCCACAGAAACGTGGTGTGAGAGATCACGTTGCTCAATCTGAGGCCGCCGTTTCATCAGACGAGCACAGGACGCTCCGCGGCGGTTCTGCAGAGACGCCACGTGCACGAGCTGCTTCCACACACAGGACCTCAGACCCACGGCACGTTCAGCCAAAATATACACATCAGAGCCCAGCACCACCTCTGTCATCCTCCACCTCAAGCTCAGGATTCACATACTCACTCTGCTAAAGACAAAAAAGCAGCCATGATTAGCCAACCAATCACCTCTCAGCCTGAGAGAGCAAGCAGCATCAACGGCACTTCCTCTAATGACCACTAGAGGCTCCAGCAGTGGGTCAGCCCCACAGACTCCCAGGTTAAAATATACACGTTTACATCCTGATAAACTGTTTTGGTCTCTAGTGATCATTAAGGCTCAACGTTAGCATTATTAGGGGCGTCAAGGTCACATGTATTTCTGTAGCACATTTCCAGACGGACGATGCTGCACAAAGTGCTTAACAACATAAAAATGTGATTAAAAGGAAACAATATAAAACAGTGATAGGACACGAAAAGAATTAAAACAATAACTAAGACTATTAAAATAAGACCAAAATGTCTGGGTCAGTGTGTTAAAAGCCAGAGCATAAAAATGTCTCTTTAGTAGTGATTTAAAGTGATCAAGTGTTTGTGCAGATCTGATATTTAAAGAGAGACTGTTCCAAAGTCTGGGCCCTGCCACACAGAAGGCTCTATCACCACGAGATCTGAGATCAGTCCGAGCTGGACCTCGTGGTTTTTCCTGGAGCACGAACAGAGAGGAGCTCAGACAGGTACGAAGAGCTCGAGCGTTAAGAGACTTAAAAACAAAAAGTAAAAGTTTAAATTGTTTCCTGTAGGAGACAGAAGCGAACACTGGGGTTATAGGCTCTCTGTTTGGTACCAGTTAGCAGGCGAGCAGCTGCATTTTAGACCATCTGAAGACGATGGATGGAGGCCTGGTCGAGACCAAAGTACAATGAATTGCAGCAGTGCAATCTGCAGGTAAGGAAAAGGTGAATGACACGTTCGCAGACGTTAGCTGGGAGGTCCGGCTTTGCCTTGGCCAGCTGTCCTAACTGAAGGAAGCAGGACTTGAAATATTTTGGATGCCAAAAAAGTCGTAAAGGTAACGTTTGAGTTTAAAGTTGAAGCCTCGTGTCCACAGGCTGCAGCAGAGGCTCATGGGTACTGTAGTGTTTGGGGCCTTGCCAGCCTGACAGACTGAGACTAAATTCTTAAATTCGCTGATTTTCCAGTGGACTCTGGCAGCAGCAGATCCAGCTTCGACTGAAACCTTCCTCCATCGCTGGGCGCCTCCGTCCGTGTTGACAGACCAAACAGATGTGCTCAGGTTGGTCAACACCAGCAGTTCGGGAGGACCTCTGGACTTTGACCCTCGAGGCCACGGCGAGCATCAGACGCTGCATGTTTGTGCAGCGTTGCTGTGTTCTCATCAGAGCGGTGAAAAAGAGCCAGCTCTGAATTTGTTCTTGGACCTTCCTCTGATATCTGAAGTGCTCTCCATCAATGGCGTATTTTAATATCTGATTTTAAATCTCCAGCCTGTAACAGTGATAATGAAAATGATGCATGCTGAGTAAATTTTCCAGCGTGCTGATGTTTAGTGAAACGTGCACAAAGCTCCAGTCTGGCTGGACATCGGGCCTCTTCAGGCAGCCGAGAGAGGAGAAAAACTCTTATTTGAACTTATCGAATGGAGTTTCTCTCCTCTGGCTGACTTCAACCTTCAGCGAGCGCCATGATAAGTTTACGGGGTCGAGGTCAGGACTGTGGAAACGCTGCTGAGTCATTCTGTCAGCGTGGGTCTGCTGCTCGACCGCCGTGTTTATATACCGAGAAGTTTATAACTATGTCTCAGTCCATCAACCTGTTTTCAGGATTTTTGTCTCACACATCAAAATCAGTGATCATTGTTTAACTATGTGAACTCAGGCCTGTGTAAGTATCCGAGTACTGACCAGTTCAAATATAAAGACAGTAAAGACGTCCTGTTACGGCAGAAGATTATCAGAATGTTATTTGTTTGAATTTCACTGCAACATAAAGCATGCAGAAAACCTTTAACACTAAAATATAGAAAATGTTGTTTTCATGTCATTTTCATGCTGGACTGAGTGAATCTCACAGGCTGCAGCACAAACACAAAAATATCAGAAGTTTGAACTCGAGTCTGCAGATGGTGCTCGGATTTATGTTCATTTCAAGACCCGCTGCTCTGGCAGAGGCTGATGCTTCAGGTTAAAATGCACTAATCACAGTTATCCTCTAGATATATGTTGGGAAAGTATTTGATAAATGAAATTAAAAGCTGACTGCATTCATTATAAACATTCAAGCTTTTTGCCATAAAAACGAGCCGCTCCAAAATCCTGCAGCTGGACTGTAACCGGGAGCAAACTGGAATCATTTCATGGAAAAAGGAAACTTTCAGAGCTGCGCACATCAACCCTGCAGTCTGACCACGCCACTGATCTGTGACACGAGGAACTGAAGCCCAGACCTGCAGCTCCGTCACGGAGAACATCTGGTTGTAGGAGGAACTGAAGCCAAACACCAGCTTCAAGTGGGATCTGAACCTCTGAGAGGAGGCCCAGAGTTACCCAGCTGAGCCGGCTCACGCCGACCGAGCCTGTCGCGCACTAATGAAGAGCTGATCTGACTCTGAAGTGTGAAACATGGCTGCGTGTTTGAGCTCAAACACAGAAAAATGACTCAGTGAAACTCTGAATCCAGACCAACAGATAAGGGGGAGTTTACTTAAGCTGAACTTGAACCTGAGACCCTCATAGCTGTGACCCTTCTCCAAACCTGCTGAGCCGCTCGCCTGTGTCCACAGCGGTGTGGAGGTCCCACTGTGGCAGTGGTGGGAACCATTACAAACTCACTTTCTAGAAACAAGAAGCTGAAAGCTGGATTTGAACCTTCAACCTCTGCTCAGAGCCTCAAACTGATCTGCTCTGATGATGACCCTGACTGAAGCAGGCGGCTCTTGATTGGTCCAATCTGTGTAGAAGAAGACTGAAATGATGCAGGCAACGCCCACTTTAATGTGAGCGCGACAGACGGTGCGTTTGAGAGTCTGAACCGCCTCCTGCAGCTAATTTCCCTCGGGATGAATAAAGTATTCTGATTCTGATTCTGATGGAGAAGCTTCTCTGTGGACGATCTGCACACAAACACACACAACACAAAACTAACACACATGGAAACAGAAATAACGGCCTCAACAAAGGTTGTTGGGTCCAAATAAAGCACAATGAAACATTTATGTATGAAAGAAACTCTAAATGCAACCAAAGCACAAAAGTCCTGCTGAAATAAATCAGGATGAATCTCACACTGAAGAAAAACAGAAAGACTTCGGCTTCCAGCGTCACTTTTATTTGTTTCAAAGGACACATCGAGTAAAACGACAAAACTTGACATCCTGAACATGAGCAGCTTCATTTTTAATCAGGTCACAAAAATCAAACAGTTTCATTACACTGTGACGTCACACCAAGCCCAAGCGTGACAGAAAATGCACTCAGCAGTTAATCCATCTATTCTTCAAATCAAGAGCTGGAGTCCAAGAGCGGATAGTTGGGTTACCTGTAAAAACTGTCAGCAGTTTAAAGCGTCCTCTGAGAGAAACATCTGGAACTCTCTCTAAACACATCAAAGGCTCAGTGTCAGAGGTCGGTTTAAAAAAAGGCACTAAAGGTTTAAAACCAAGGAAACAGAGGTGAGGCGTGCTGGGCCTGCAGCCTGAGACTAACTCAGCTTCACTGATCTGAGCACGGGACAGAGAGAGACAGGTGCCCAGCAGCTGGTTTACGCAGGGGTGGAGAGGTTTTACGCAGAGATGGAGAGGTTTACGCAGAGATGGAGAGGTTTTACGCAGAGATGGAGAGGTTTATGCACGGCTCAGGTGGCGTGGAAGGCGGCGCTGACAAAGGGCGCGTGGCCGGGCACGCAGCGGTACCTGACGGTGTAGTTCTGCCCCTCGTTGTTGTCCCAGAACTCCCCCTCCTCGCACTTCAGGTAAACGGCGAGGTGCACGGCGGAGCCGGGGTCTGCGAGGGGCGGGATGTACACGGTGAAGGCGAAGCGCTCCCCCACCAAACCCGGCTCGTTCGCAGCCACGGGCACCGCTTGCGCGTCCATGTGGGACAGCCAGCCGTTGAAGGTGTACCTCACTCCGACCTCCTTGCCGGCGCAGCCGCTCAAGACCCGCACGTGCCCCCGCACGTCCAGCTGCGTGGCGGCGAGCCTCTCTAGGCAGACCCGGTGCCGCTGGACTCTCCGCTCCGTGTCCCGGAGCTCCGGGAGGTCCACGCGCAGGCCGGCGGCGAAGCTGTGGCACAGGCTGCTCAGGAGGTCCTGCTGCTCCAGGGGGAAGCTCCTGTGCCGGGACAGGACCTTGCTGGGGATCTGCGGCTCTTCCAGGGAGCTGAAGTGCTTCACTCGGGCCAGGCTCAGCCCCATGGAGTCCGCGAACTTCACGCGCTTCCTGCCCTCCTCCGCTCCGTGGGGTCCGTTCAGCAGCGCCGGGTACGCCGGCAGGGACTTTGCTCTCCTCCGGTCCCGAATGAACCTCTCCAGCTGAGACGCGTCCAGCTCGTCGTCCAGGTCTTCCTCATCCGCCCCCTCCTCCTCCTCCTCCTGCTTCATTCCGTTCTCCGTGGGCTCTCCGCCGGCGTGGATCTGAGGGGGTGAGCGGGACATGGGTGCCCGGCAGCCAGGCGGCCTGTGAGCTGCGGGCGGGTCCGGAGTCCGGCAGCTTGTATAGAGCCCCCCGCCCCCTGTGACAGCAGAGCGCGTGCAGTCCTCGGGGCGTAGCAGCTGTCACAGAGACGGGCGCGACGTCACGTAACAGACCGTCAACCTTCACCTGTTTGTGCACAAAGAACAAAACAACAACACAGACCCTCTGACGCGCGAGGCTCCGCCCACAAACACCTTATCCAGCAGTCTCTGGACACACACACACACACACACACATACCTGTCTGACGTCATGTGGCTCAGTCAGCAGCACTGTTACATAACAGTTGTGAGCGTGCGCAGAGGATATTATTGGACCACAGGCAGACCTCAGAGGTTCGTGGAAGTGGTGGAGGTCACGATGAGTGGGGCAGCTCTCTGGGGCAGAGCGGGTCATCATCACTTGGCAGGTCGATGATTCGATCCCCGGCTCCTCCGCTCTGAACCCTGGATGTGTGTGAGCGTTACAGGCACAGGGGAAAAGCCGGTGGGAGGTGAGGAACACCTGACCGGTCATTTCTTCATTAGCTGTGTGTCCTGATCGAACCCTCTGAGCTCTGAGGCAGATCCTGGTGTGATGGTGCTGCTCCAGCAGAACTCTGGCTGGTGCCGGAGGTTCGGTCTCCAAACGAACCAATCACAGTTGCCGGAAGGCTGAGGTCACCTGACCAGGGACAGAAAAAACAGTGGAGTTGCCTGAATCCTCTGTGGCGGCCAGTTGTGGCCCCAGAGCCACATGTTTGACACCATAAAGTTTAAAAGAGGTGAAAGCTGCTCGATGAGGTCACGGAGAGCTGAAGTCCAGCCAGTCCCGCTCTGTTATGTAACGACGCTCCACGTGACTCCACAGCTGCGTCATCCAGACGGCCAAAACAAACACGTGACATCATCACCACCATCATCCTGACATCATCCCATCGTTACCTTATTAGGAAGAGCAAACATGGAGGATTTAACCTCGTGTTTAGCTTCGCCACAAATCTCTCTGATCATTTCCACAGGCTGCAGGAGGAGGAGCCTGTGGAAGTGATCACGTCTGTTTCTATAGCGTTACACGCTTCGATTGACATTAGACGGTCAGATCATTAACTGGATCTTTCTGTGTTCAGATGAGCTCCTGAGGGTTTTTAATGCTCTGAGCCTCTTTACCTCACAGGAGGTCACCAGGTCATCCTGCAGCTCTGCAGAAACGCTGACAAAGCCAGGGCTCGGTTCCCGCTTGGGATGAGGTTAACGGGGTCAGGTGGGGGCTCGAGGCTGAGTGTCCAGTTTGGTGTGCTGTGGACTGGGTGGCAGAGACAGCAGAGGTCCTGTTGTTCATCACAGAGTCATCAGTTCCTTCATATTTCAGAGTTAGAGTGACAGTAAGCTTAAGATCAACCATAGTTTAAGAACAGACAGTATTTATGAATGGATGAGAGATTTTAAAGAGAGGTATGAAGATGACACAAGAACTGATCAGAGGAACAGGTCTGATGGAGAGATGGACCCACATCATGCTCAGTGTGTAGAAGGAGGTCCAATAGTGAGAGTCTGCAGCCATCTGTGAAGCATGACGGAGGCTCTGTCATGGCTTCACTCGAGTCTACACGCTGCCGGGGCAGTAAACGCTCACCTGGATAGAAACTCTGTCCGAGCCCGGACCTCAGCATGACTGTGGGATCATCCTCACAGAGAACAGAACAACAGAAACATCCAAAGAAGAGCTCCGAGTGTCCTTCCAGAGGCCCGGAGATCCTCACAGCTCAGAGGTCAGACGGAGCTGCAGACTCTTCTCCTGTCAGGATGTTTAGAAACTTTAAATAATGCTTCAGTTTTCGGATCAACTCAGGTAAACAGATTCAGAACGACTTCCTCACAGCTGCACAGGTTAGTGATGTGTCGGTCGCGAACGAAACGGCTCTTAGAGCCGGATCTTTGACGTGAACGACGCGAGCCGGCTCCTTATCGCGAGCCGTGGTTTTTTTTTTCTTTCTCTCACCCTCTCTCTCTCTCGCACTTTTTTCCGTTTCACTCCGCACGCGAGCCTTGTGCTTTACACTGGGCAGAGGGGGGAGGGGCGGTAGTTACACTGAGTAGCACAGGAACAGAGCCAGAGAGAGAGAAAGAGAGGCAGGGACAACAACGTCACATTAGAAAGGTATAGTAATCATCCACAACTATATTCAGTTGCAGATGATGAAAGATTCAGAAAGTTTATTCATGCAGGTCCATATGACAGAGAATGTGCATGTTCTTTTTGTTTTCATAGTTTAATTTATATTTAATTGTGTTGTGGTTTGCAGTGTTTTGTGTTGTTTCACTTTAAATTTGTTGAAAAGGAAAAAGCTGAAAATGTAAATAGTTAAAAGTTGAACTGTGAATAGTTGGTTTTTGTATTATATGATTTATTTATTACATTTTATGTGGAGTGAATAAATAAAAGTATATTTACGGTGGCCCCTACAGACAAAGCACATACAAACTCAAAACACGTACAAAAGACAACAGAAGTGCTCCAGGATGCTAGGGGGCAGTGGTGAGCTTTTGTTACCTCATGGCTACACAAGCCAGGAAGTACCAATGACCGGATATGGTGTGTGGTAGTAACAGGTAAATGAACTTTTGCTTAATTGCTTAATTAAAGCAACAAAACAACCTGAAGAGCCGGTTGGGAGCCGAAATAGCCGGCTCTATTTAGTGAGTCGAGCCGAAAGAGTCGGTTCTCTAAAAAGAGCCGGAAATCCCATCACTAGTACAGGTGTATTTAGCGCTGTGACATACTCCCCCACGTTTTCCCGACTGCAGGACTGCGTCACCGGTTTGTTTACTATCCCCAGGAGTGACGCAGCTGTTACATAATGGAGTCTGACTGAGCTCGCGCAGTCACACCGGCGCGTGGCTCTGTTGTTGTTGTTGTGCGCACGCAGGTGTTTATGCGACAGCAGCTGATGTGAGAACAGCGCACGCGCTCTGCTGTCATCGTGGGGCGGGAGTCTGAAGACAGGTGGAGACAAGACCAGCGCGAGGACTCCTACCGGATACGAGCCTCGGCACCCGGGCAACAGCTCTCCTCCACAGACCCGTGAAAGTGCCACGGAGAGAGGGATGGAGGAGCAGGAGGAGGAGGAAGACCTGGAGGACGAGCTGGACGCGTCTCAGCTAGAGAGGTTCTTGAAGGACGGGAGGAGAGCAAAGTCCCTGCCGGCCTGCCCGGGAGGAGCCCACGGAGCGGAGGAGGGCAGGAAGCGCGTGAAGTTCGCGGACTCCATGGGGCTGAGCCTGGCCCGAGTGAAGCACTTCAGCTCCCTGGAAGAGCCGCAGATCCCCAGCAAGGTCCTGTCCCGGCACAAGAGCTTCCCCCTGGAGCAGCGGGACCTCCTGAGCAGCCTGTGCCACAACTTCGCCGCCGGCTTGCACGCGGACCTCCCGGAGCTCCGGGACACGGAGCGGAGAGTCCGGCGGCTCCGGGTCTGTCTGGAACGGCTCGTCGCGACGCAGCTGGACGTGCGGGGGCACGTGCGGGTCCTGAGCGGCTGCGCCACCGGGAGGGAGGTCGGAGTGAGGTACACCTTCAACGGCTGGCTGTCCCACATGGACGCGCAGGCGGTGCCCGTGGCTGCCGTCGAGCCGGGTTTGGTGGGGGAGCGCTTCGCCTTCACCGTGTACATCCCGCCCCTCGCAGACCCCGGCTCCGCCGTGCACCTCGCCGTTTACCTGAAGTGCGAGGAGGGGGAGTTCTGGGACAACAACGAGGGGCAGAACTACACCGTCAGGTACCGCTGAGTGCCCGGCCTTTGTCAGCGCCGCCTTCCACGTCCCCTGAGCCGTGCGTAAAACCTCTCCATCCTGCGTAAAACCTCTGTATTTAAAGCTGTCCGTTCGTCGCAAAGTTCCTTCCTCGCTTCTGTCTCTGACCTTCAGCTCTGGTGTCCTGCTCTCTCTGGCTCACTGTGCTCAGTTCCTGAGGTCAGGACGCGTCAAAGTTTCAGATGTCACAGCAGGAAAAATGAAATCCTGGCAGAGAAGTTTCAACTTTTCTTTTTAACTGTGACGTGGACACTGCTCACTGATGGACAGTAAAGATTCCTGAATGTTGTCACATGATTCATGTTTAGTAAAAGTAACTGAATCACTTTGGCTGTTTGCCTGCTTCTCGTGACGTCATCACGCGCCGCACTGTAAAACGATGCTGAGCCGAACAGGAAGCAGATTCTGACATGTTGAAGGAGTGTGAGAGGAGTGAGCCTGTCCTCTGCCTTCGAAGCCAGATGTTTCCTCTGTGGTGTTTTTAAAGCTCCAGATGTTTTCAGTGGTGATGCCGTGTCCTCTTCAGCCTGGATTGGTCTGATTGGAGGGTGGTGGCGTGGATGCAGAGAGGAGGTTCCCTCCTGAGCCCATCAACCACAGAACCAGGTCCGACTGTAGAGCAGCGCTGCCTGAACACCAGCAGCGGTCAGTACTGGGTTCTTCTAATAAGAGGAACAACAAGTTCTTTATCATTTTATGGGAACCGTTCTCACGTTGCTGGGCAGAGGTGAAGAACCTGTCTCCGCCTCCACTCTGGGAGGATTTTTCTACAGCAGCATGTCAGTGAGGAGCTCATCACTGCTTCTCTTTTCTCTTACTGAACTTTTTAAAAGTTTAAAATCAGTAAAATATCAACATTTATGCAATAATTATGCAAAACATATTTATAAGCTTAAGCTGGGTCTTTGTTACCTGACGCAGGAACAAATACTCCTGTTGTAGTCAATGGTTGTTTGACCTCTGTGACCTCAGGACCTGTGAGCATGAATGAAAGAGGAGCTGAGGAGCACTACAATGACCTCCTTGAGTTTCTCAGAGTAAAGCTGGAGCTCTCAGACGCTCTGTTGCTACAGCAACCTCACAGCAGCCATGTTATTGGTCACATGATGTCATTAAAAAGGCTTCAATAGCACAAACACGGCCCAGAGGTCCTGTGCTGAGCCTCTGCTGGATGTTAGAGGAACTGCAGGTACTTTCAGCTGGAGGGTGGGGGTGTATGGACGAGCCCGGGGTTCAGGCTCATCACAGAGGTCACAGCTGAGCCTGCAGCTACATGCTAAATGATGTCACACAGTCTGGTGATGGTAGAGCGAGGCGTGCACGTCGCTGTGTAGCTCCTGCAGCAGAGTCTGCAAACTGAAATCAGCAGGTGCAGCCGCACTGACTGAAGCAAGTATTAATCTTTGCTTTCAGCTGTTTTGTCACAGATTTGTGAAATGATTTTTGAAAGAGCTCACGGATCCGGGTGCGACGCCGTAACAGGAAGCCCTCGTTGCAACAGGTTGTGAAATTTCTTCACTGCCAGATTTTCCACAACCAACCGTCAGCAGTATCACTGCAAAGTGGAGACATGAAGGTGCAGCACAGTGAGTGGAAGTCCCCAACCCTCCATCACCGCAGCGTCCACACAAGCCGCTCAGCAGCAGCTGCGCCTCAGCTGCCGTACGACACGTACTTTTAAAGCAAGCATGTTTTATAGCGTTATTTTATATCCTGGTCACATACAAGGTTCTGGTAGCTGATTGGCCAGACTGTCCTGTAGCCATTTTCTCACTTTGGCTCCACTGTACAAGCCGACACGTGTTTCTGTCATTGGATGGTTTCTCTACACCTCAGTGAGTCTGGAGCACATGAAGTCTGCGTCTGCACAGAAAGCTGTAACAACCCTTCACATCCTCCAGTGGACCAGACTGGAGCCATTACCAGGCCATTCCCTGCTCCCAGACCTTATGTTTGACACCTCTGTTTTACAGCACGACAGCACGTGTGTGTGTGTGTGTGTGTGTGCGTTTCATGAGCATCTCGTTTACCTTTAAACCTGCAGCCTCTGAGCGGCGCAGCCTGTAGTTGGTCTATTTCGCCTCTAGGTGGCAGCATTTGTCCTTTTCACCTCCCTCTGTGGGCGCATTCACTTCCATAAACTGTTTTTATTTTCATGGCACACATTTAGTTTCTGTCCAAATGATCTCCTCGTGTCCTTCTTGTGTTGTTTTTAGGTTCCCGAGCGCGTGACGGCGTGTGGCTGCGCGTCCTCCATGTGGCGCTGCAGAGCTGTCAGTTTATCAGTGCAGCTGCTTCCTCTCAGCCTCCATCTCTGAACGCTGATGAGCTCCAACCTCTCTGCTTCAGCCCAGAGGAATCCCAGCATTTCAACAGGAAGCGACACTTCAAAATAAAAGCCGCAGCCTTTTATAACTGAGAATGATTTAAAGTTGTGTTTTCTGACCTTACCTGTATTTCTACACGTTCATCCTCCAAACCATTTAAATATGTTTCTGTTTCGATTATCCTGCATCCACCATTTCCCACATTCCACAAAACCCTCAAACAACTCTTTCCTGTGACCTCGTGTGACCTTCTGATGTGTTCCCACCACGATTTAATGAACAAGTACAGCAGGTGTAAGACGATCAACGAGCATCTGGTTGTTTGTTCCCATGATGGAGAACAGGTCTGACACTCCCAGGTTAGGATTGGAGCCACACCCATCCTTCCAGGTCGCTGCGCTCGGTCAATCGGCTTCAGCTGAGACCACAGCGGGCGCTGTTTCTGAGAGTGATCCACGAGCTGAAGCACCGACGCTGACCGGAGACGTACCTGTACAAGAGGAAGCCGAGGAAGAAGCAGACGGATGGGATCGTAGAGAAGAAGAGTGCGGCGATGACTCTGCTCTCTGAACTTCAGTGAAAACCACGAAAGCAGCAGACCTGAAACACCCCGAGCTGGAACGGCTTTCTGTGACCCGTCGCCCACGAGGTGACGGAGAGTCGAATGTTTGTGTGACAATAACTGCGTGCTTCTCTGCTGATTTACAGTTGGATGTTTTTTGCTCCAGACGACGAGCTTGAGGATGATGATGAAACTTTTCTCTACTGAACACAACGTCCAGATAAACACAGAACTTTTGAGGAATCCTGGTGTTTTTTCTGCCATTTAGTGCCGGTCACATGACCCGATCATGTCTCTGTAAATCAGGACTCAAACGGCCGTGACTACGACTGGACGAGCAGAAGCTGCGCGATCCCACGGACGCTGCTGCTCGTCTGGAGATCCTCGACTCCGTCACATCCATCACAGCTGCTGCTTTTCTTTAAACAAGGCCTCGTGTTCGTCATCTGGCCTCGCAAAGGCACTTTGAATAAATCTCAGCTGGACAAACTCGACGTCTGAATGTTTTTATTCGATAATTTCCTGCAAACACAGCAGCACGAAATAAAAAATGGCAGTAAATCTGACCTCGACTGCGTGTAGACTGTACGTAGAAGATGGACGTGTGCGTCGGTCTGAATGAGTCGGCTGCGTGTAGCAGCCAGTCTCTCTTTTTAACCTCAGTAAAATCTGCCTGATGGTCTCAGTCGCAGGTTTTAGTCGTTTAGATTTTGTCCCAATTCAGGGTCAAATGATTTAGGGTGTGGCTACTCTGTGATTGACAGCGACCAGCTCTTTCTTACGCCAACACGTTGGCTGGGTCCATCTTTTATGTACAGGCTCTTCAGACAGTCTGAGAGGCGTTACGATTGGACGGCAAATTGTGGAACATTTTCGGAGATCATGTTGTTAATCTTCCACGTTTGCTCTCTGGATCAAGTGTGCGTGGTCTCAAACAAGCACACGGACGCTGTGACCGGACTCTGGTTCCTGCGCACCAGCTACACAACAGTTAAGTGGACTCATCCTGCTCCTCGTCCGCCGGGTCATACTTCCTGTCCTGGAAAAGCTTTAATAATGACGCCTGTGAGTGAGCTCCAAAGGCTCCGTTTACCACACTTTTTCTACTTTTGGGTCTCTCTGATGTAACAGAGAGGAACTTATACGGTCACCTAAGGAACAGAAGCTCCACCCACCTGTTGTTCAAACCAGCCAATCAGAATAAAGCTAGTTGAAGGTATTTTTCACCACCAGGGGGCAGTGTTAAGATAGAGGATGTGTTCACGTTTTTTTTAATTTGACTACGAAAAAAATGGTGGAAATGAGCAGAATAGGTCCACTTTAACAGGTGAGTGTCATGGCGGCTGTGACGTCACATGACGCAGTTACATGACGCGTCGTTAGCTGCTTACTGCATGTTTAAATTTTTATTTACATTCGGTTACAAACATATAAAAAGTTTAACAAATTATACACCCGCTGCATTTCTACACAATTTCAGAGCATGAGGATTCGCTGCGGCGCCCGTTGTCACGGTGAATTCAACAATGTAAATTACTTCATTAACATAATGCCACATCATTGGTTGATAGGTTAATCAGGATGAAATGAATTACAGGGTCATTACTGGCGTAGAGTCGGTGATCCTAGAACAGACGCTCCTGCGGGGGTGTGTCTATTTGGTCAGGTGGTCCGCAGCCGCCGCTCGTCTGCTCTAAAAACGCCACCCAACGCTGGGAGGAGGAGCCATGGCAACCTCTCATTGCTATTGGCTGTCAATCAGACGTCGGTGCTTGCTGGTGACATCACATCAGTGTGTGATGACATCACTCAGAGGAGTACATGTTGTATATCACCGTGACGATGACTGCAACCAGAGCGGGGACCAGCATGTTCGACCACCAGCTGCAGGACAGACGCACAGTTAGTGGTGCACACAAACCCACTCTGTGTGTGTGTCTGTGTGTGTCTGTGTGTGTGTGTCTGTGTGTGTCTGTGTGTGTGTCTGTGTGTGTCTGTGTGTGTCTGTGTGTGTGTCTGTGTGTGTCTGTGCGTGTCTGTGTGTGTCTGTGCGTGTCTGTGCGTGTGTCTGTGTGTGTCTGTGTGTGTGTGTGTGTGTGTGTCTGTGTGTGTGTGTGTGTGTGTGTCTGTGTGTGTCTGTGCGTGTCTGTGTGTCTGTGTGTGTCTGTGTGTGTGTCTGTGCGTGTCTGTGTGTGCGTCTGTGTGTCTGTGTGTGTCTGTGTGTGTGTCTGTGCGTGTCTGTGTGTGTCTGTGTGCGTGTGTGTGTCTGTGTGCGTGTCTGTGTGCGTGTCTGTGTGTGTGTCTGTGTGTGTCTGTGCGTGTCTGTGTGTGTGTCTGTGCGTGTCTGTGTGTGTGTCTGTGTGTGTCTGTGTGCGTGTGTGTGCGTGTGTGTGTGTGGCTCACCTGGGCTCTTCCTTCACAGTGGTCACCAGTGTTTCCTGTAAAACACAAAAAGAGTCAGTCCCGTGGCTACATCGCTGTTTACAATAAACCCATCAAAGGGTCAAAGGTCACTGTGATAAATACACCAGGGGGCGCTCTCGAGCTCGCCCAGAATGAGCTGCACAACGTGAACTTTGGCAAGTGTTCATCTTGTTTTTGAAAGAAGAGCTCGACATCGTGACGCGCTGCTTCGTCTGCACCTGTGGAGCTTCCTGTTGGGCTTTAGCCACGCCCCCTAACATCTGCCAGAGTTATCGGTCCAAATTCATGGGCTGCATCCTCCTGAGGACGCATTTGTAGACCGATTACGTCACAGCGACGTGCCGAAGGCTGTCCGAATTCGTAGACTCCTCCGAATGCAGCCGACAAATGCATCCTGCTTTTCCCTGAATTTGAAGGATGGGTCGGGTGTGTCCTTCGTGGCCTACCATATCCCAGAATTCATAGTGCGGCCCAGCAAAAGTTTTAAAATTACTCATACTAATCTTTCTGGGTCACAAAATAAACTTTTAACATATTTTCAGGCGAGAAAGTAGCTGTGTAAACATCAAATATCTGCTCGGTTTATCAAGATATCGCATATTTGCAAAAGTGCTTCAACGTTTTCGGAGGCGTCTGCTACCCACCAGCTCGACAGCTAGCCGGGAGCTCGAGGGTCACTGGAGCCGCCGAGAACGGCACAACTCCGGCACATCATGTTCAGATCACCGCGGACTTTCACTGCTCGGGTTAAACAACTTAGACAACCTAAAAATGTTGTTGTTTGGCTTTATTAATCCCCCGGGTGGTTTTCACACAGCTGAATAAACGTCAAACAGAAAACTGATTAAACAGAAGTGTGAGACGGTCGAGAGTTTACTCCAGTGTCCTGTTATATTTTAGACAGCAAGGAGCAGACGGCGAGTTTATTAACTCCACCGAGACAGCGGTGACGCAGATCAGAAGGCTGGACCGTCACATTTCACAGCCGTTTACTTCCGACCTTCTGAGGACTCGGCCTTCACGGTCTACGTGGGCCGGGTCCTCAGGAGGATGCAGCCTATGAATTTGGACACGACAATCCTTTGGAAATCGGTGCCATGGAACCCTTAACTAACCAATCAGCACGCATTAGCGTTATCTTGGTGCTTTCTGGGGAAAATCAGCTTGTTCTTGTCGTATGTGAGCAGCTCTCCTCAGACCGTCACCTCTTTACATCGTCTCAGTTTAAACGACATGTTTCTGTGATCTGCTGTGATTAAAGTTGTGGCGTGGGTGTGGTGTGGGTGTGGTCTCTGGCCGTCTGCAGAGGAGGGGTGACGCAGTGAGCTCCCGGGGCGGCGCAGGGGCGGGTGAACAGGTGTGCTGGGCTGTGATTGTGACTCTTTATATGTTCACAGTGACAGTCGGAGGGGGAGGAGAGTGGGAGCGTCTGTGTCCCAGTGCAAAACGAAAACCACAAAAAGCTCTGCTGTCATCACTCGAGTGCAGCGTCTGCAAACGCCCCAAACATGCGATCAGCTCAGTCCGACTGAAACGGCTTCACTCACCTCAGGCTGGGAGAGCTTGTGTCTGTCCTCCTGCACACAGAAACACAGAGATGACACAGGCAGCACCTCCCACAGTGCAGTCAAGTCTCACACACACACAAACACTCACACACACACTCACAGACTCACACACACACACTCACACACACTCACACACACACACTCACAGACTCACACACACTCACAGACACACACACACACACTCACAGACTCACACACACTCACACACACTCACAGACTCAGACTCTCACACACACACACACACACACACACTCACACACACTCACACACACTCACACACACTCACACACACTCACACACACACACTCACAGACTCACACACACACACACACACTCACAGACTCAGACTCTCACACACAGACTCACACACACACACACACACACACACACACACACACACACACACACACAGACTCACACACACACACTCACACACACTCACACACACACACTCACAGACTCACACACACACACTCACACACACTCACACACACACACTCACACACTCACAGACTCACACACACACACTCACACACACTCACACACACACACTCACACACACACACTCACAGACTCACACACACACACACACACACACACACACTCACAGACTCACACACACACACTCACACACACTCACACACACACACTCACAGACTCACACACACACACTCACACACACTCACACACACACACTCACACACTCACAGACTCACACACACACACTCACACACACTCACACACACACACACACACTCACAGACTCACACACACACACTCACACACACTCACACACACACACACACACACTCACAGACTCACACACACACACACACTCACAGACTCACACACACACACTCACACACACTCACACACACACACTCACAGACTCACACACACACACACACACAAACACTCACACACACACTCACAGACTCAGACTCACACACACACACACACACACACACACACACAGACTCACACAGACTCAGACTCACACTCACACAGACACACACACACACACACACACACACACAGACACACACACACAGACTCACACACACACACACACACACAGACACAGACTCACACACACACACAGACACACACACACACAGACACACACACACACTCACCGGGTGCACCTCTCCGATCACCATGCTGCTGGCCATCTCTCGGGCGTCGGTGGAGTGTCCGACGTCCTCGAAGCTCTCCGTGGCGTTTCCTCCGGCCTGCTCCCTCAGCACCTCCTCTCCTCCGGGGTGCTGACACCACAAACACACACAGAGCCGTCAGTTCACCTCCTCACGCACACATTCACACTTTTAAACACACAATTTCTAACCAGTCACTCGTTAAAGTCGAGGCTAAACACAAATCCTCACATTGCTTTAGGTTCCGGTTGCGGTCGGCACGGTAACACGCTGTGACAGGCCCACGTGCACGCTCGCAGTAACACCGATGCTGGTCGCCCTCATCAAACAGAGGCGTGCGTGTCCCTCTCTGCCACGAGAAGCCGTCACAGTCGCAGAGGCTGTGAGTCAGTCACGCCGCTGCAGCTGCAGAGTCAGTTTCAGCGCTGCATGGTGCAATCAGGCTGCCCACATGCAGGCTGGGGAAACATGGCAGACATGACGTGCAGCTCGCCTCTGTCGGGGCGCCTTACAGGACCACAGCTGATGACACGCTGTAAACCTCTCTACACATGAGTTACGTTTGGGACCAGACGTCGACATGGACTGAGACTCGCCCGCGGCCTGTGATTGGACCGTCCTCCCCATCGCCTCTTTGTCTTTACCTGCGTCTCATTAATGAATGATTCACAGGTTCGCTCTGACCTGCAGTGAACCACGGCACTCGGCTCACCTCTGGACAGCTGCTATAAAACAGCTGGATCCAGAAATCGCTGCTGAGCATGTCTTTGAACTCTGAGTGAACCGGAGCAGCGAGACGAGTCGAGAGGCCTCGATCTGTTCGCTGACTGTTGGCCAACACACCCTGAACTCTGTACAAGGAGACGCCATTCATTCAGATAAGCTGTGACCAGGGAGGAGCCGAGCAGCCCGAGGGCCAGGCTGTTAGTCATAACCAAGCAAGGCAACTTTATTTGTATAGCACACTTTCAGCACCAGGCAATTCAAAGTGCTTTAGGGGCGACCGTGGCTCAGGGGGTTGGGAAGCGTATCTGTAACCGGAAGGTCGCTGGTTCGATCCCCGAGCTCTCTGTCCTGGTTGTTGTGTCCTTGGGCAAGACATTTTACCCTACCGCCTACTGGTGGGGGCCAATGGCGCGATATGGCAGCCTGGCTTATGTCAGTCTGCCCCAGAGCAGCTGTGGCTACAACCGTAGCCTCCACCAGTGTGTGAATGTGAGAGTGACTGAATAGTGGTATTGTAAAGCGCTTTGGGTGCCTTGAAAAGCGCTATATAAATCCACTATTATTACGTGATTAAAGTGATAAAAGAAAGCATTTGTAATAAACCAATAACCAAGAAAATCATTTGTATGAAAATTAAAACAAACAGGTAGAGAGCCATAACAGGATCAGTTACTCATAAGCAAGTCTGAATAAGTAAGTTTTAATTTTACACTTAAAAGAGCTTTGCATGCTCCTGATAGTTCCAGATGTGAGGAGCATCTCCTGCTTCGCCAGGTTTAGTTCTGGTTCTGGGGACGGTCAGTAAACGAGAGCTGGAGGACCCGACTGATCCATGACAGCAGATCTCTAATGCACTCTGGTGCTAACCCATTCAAAGATTTATAAACTAATAAAGTCTATTCTGTGAGCTACAGGGAGCCAGTGCAATGACTTTAGAACTGGAGTAATGTGCTCTGTTTTCTTGGTTCTAGTGAGAACACGAGCAGCAGCGTTCTGGATCAGCTGCAGTTGTCTGTTACAGTAATCAAGGCGATAAATGCCTGGATGAGTTTCTCTAGGTGATGTGTCATCAGTCCTTTAATCCTAGAAACGTTCCTCAGGTGACAGAAGGCTGACGTTGTTATTACTTTGATGTGGCCCTGGAGGTTCAGCTCTCATTATTACACCTAAGGTTCTGGCCTGGTCCGTAGTTTCTAGTTGGACCAGTTTGAGCTGATTACTGATATTTAGTCTTTTTGGGTCCAAAGAGAAGTACTTCAGTTTTGTAGCAGGCATTAGAGTGCACATTAGAGTGCACATCTGGGTCTTGTATTAAATGTTTCCCTGTATTTGTCTGACAGGTTTAGTTGATTTACAGTTTAAGATTTTCTTCACACAAAACCAAAAACAAAATTCATATTAATTGTAACAGTTTATAACCAGTTGAAGCCATTACTCATCCCTCTAATTACCCAGGGATGAGTAATGGATAATTAAAAGGAAAAACCTGTGTGTTGGGAAGCATTCATGTAACAAAGTGTTCTGCAGGTTCCCTCTGTGGTGACCATCTTGTTTCCCCAGTAAAGAGGAGGCCTGCCTCAATTGCAGCTCTTTTATAGGCCAGTCTGTATTGAGAAGGCGTGGTCTTTAGAGTATTTGTGCATGATGTCGGCAAGAGACAATAAAACAATTACTTCAGTTAAGATAGAGTGAAGTCTGATGTTTCCCTCACCGCGGCCTCTGCGTAACACTGTGACTCACTAATCTGACCTTTGTGAAGACATTTGCTAATCAATAGACTTCTAACCACAACCCATGAAATGATGGACACAATATTCACAGATCAGTCCTTAATGATTAGCAGCAGTTAGCTTTGTTACGGTAAAACTTTCAATTGTATAAATTATTGTACTTTTGCAGTATTTAAAACCAGATCCTGAGGATATGAAGCCTCCTTTGTTCTAGTCACCAACATGGACTAGCGCTAGCTAACGTTAGCTTAGTCTGCTAATCGCTAACATCAATGAACGGAGGAAACTCCCCATAAAAATAAAAAATAAATGACTTCAGGGGAGATTGTTTTTAATAAGAGAGGAAACACACTCAGGTTAGCTAGCTGGCTGTTAGGGTTTGGAAGTTAGCCACTTTTGGGCTTTTTATTGATCCTCACAACAAAGCGTGAGCTGGCTTTCTCTGGCTGATGATTGTTTTGGTTGTGAGCCGATTGTCACATTTGCCCGTAGCTTGCATGGAAGACACTGACTTCTCTGCTAACACTGGCTAACTGCTCGCTGAGCGCTGCTGAAACCTGAAACTGTGACACAAACTGGAAGTTGAGAACGTTTACTGTCAAAGTAAAAGCTCCACCGCAGTGCTGCGGCCGCCATGTTTCAAAGGGTTTGTTTGTCATGTTTCCAGATGCAGCATCTGTTACATTACAGGTGACACAGCAGTCTGCAAGCCTAGCGACCAAAGAAATCACAAGTAAGTGGTTGGTGAATACATTTTTTCCCTAGCAACCAGTAGTTTCCAGGCAGTCAATGTCTGGCCTTCAGGTCTGCCAGCACCCTCTGGCCAACCAGTTGGAGAATAATCATTTTCTCCCAGTGACCTGAGGTTGGCAGATGGTTGCAGACTGGTCCCTAGACCTTTAGTCTCTACACTGTTACATGTCCAAATCATTAACATCATGTGACTAGCTGTCATGTGACCACAAAACCTCATAAGTCTGCAGGAAGTAAAAAGAGGGACCACCCGGGGCATGCTCATTGTCTCATCATTCAAAGCAAACATGGACAGCTGTGCAGCATGTAACTGATGCTCACCTCATCAACTCCAATCAGCTCTGCTATCCAGTGCTTATATCTGCATGTAAAGGGTGTGAACACTTCCACCAGTGGATCCAGTTTCCTGGATATTTCTGATTTGGATCAAAAACTTCCTGCTGTTCATCTTTAATTGAACAATTCCTCACATATGCTGACGTCTCCAGGATTAAATTAACAATGAAAACACATCTGGTTTAGATCTGAAGTGAGTCAGAGCCAGTTATCTCTCTTTGTGTAGTCACATGTTATAAACCCAGCCCCCCCATAGCTGCATCACTGCAGCCTGCCAATGATTCACCAGAGTCTGCAGCACAAAGCCAGAGAGCAAACTGTGGCAGAGTTCATCCAGTGAATCAGCAGAAAACTGAAGCCTGACGATATCTGAAAGCAGAGGGACGGTGTAAAGCTGAGCGGAGGTGGAGGTGAAGGGTCGTGGGGCTGACGCTTTGTGTGCAGCAGTCACATTTGCTGCATGCAAACTGAAACGATCCATGTTTACGGCCTTAGATCGCTCTGTGCTTCAGAGCAGCACGTTAAACCTGCAATAAACCTGCACACAGACGGCCAGGTACCACTTCATTATATCAACCATCACACCTTTTCTAGACCAATCAGAGGCAGTCGGACGCATTTATTCATTCATATGTTCAAAGAGGCCAAACCTGCCTGAGCCTGGTTGGAAGTTTCTTCCTGTTAAAAGGAAGTTCTTCCTTCCCACTGTTGCCATGTGCTGCATACAGGGTCATCTCTCTAACACTACTAAACTGGTCTAAAACTTTTATTTAAATGTTGCAGGTACCCAGAGTAACTTCACCTTAACTTAATCAAAATCAGTCAGCTCAACAATCGGAACAGAAAATTCTAATAATAATAATAATGGATTGGATTTATAAAGCGCTTTACAATGCCACTATTCATTCACTCTCACATTCACACACTGGTGGAGGCAGCTACAGTTGTAGCCACAGCTGCCCTGGGGCAGACTGACAGAAGCCAGGCTGCCATATCGCGCCATCGGCCCCTCTGGCCAACACCAGTAGGTGGTAGGGTAAAGTGTCTTGCCCAAGGACACAACGACCAGGACAGAGAGCCCAGGTATCGAACCGGCAACCTTCCGGTTACAGATATGCTTCCCAAACCCCTGAGCCATATATTGATCAACTGGGAAAAAAAGTCCTTTCAGGTTTATAGTTTAATGTTTAAAAATGTAAATCTGCCAAAATGTTTTAATTAAAATTTTACATACATTATTTTATTATATTTTTTATTATTATGAAATATGTTTTTGTTGTTTTATTCCCATTTTTGTTCCAGTGAAACAAAGAAATCATCACTAAATGTCCCAACATCAGCAAACATTAGGTACAGACAGGCATTGGTCAGTGAAGCTGGTGTCTGGCCAGTTTAAAGGCTTTTAATCAATGCAAAGATCAATACCATCATTTATTGTCACTAAATCGTTTTTGATCAGAAATTGAAACTGTTGAAGATCAATTACATTTTTGACAATTTCCCAATAAAACACGATCAGTTTAAAAATGAAAAATCCAGGATTGACTCGTTCAGCCTGACAGTCCCACTGAACACAGACATCCAGTTTCTAATCAATAATCTTATCCATCTATGTCCAGAGTCTTTTGGTATTTCTGGGCTTCCATAGACACAAAACCCAAACAAATCCGGTCTCCGTTGTAGCGGAGACACCTGCCCTGATTCGGATACTTCCCATCTGACCTTTGACTTATTGTTTAAGTTGGCCGGGTTCCTCTGGGGCCCTTCCTGGGACCCCTGCGATTCTGAGAAGGCTCCAGTCTGTACTGTGAAACTACAAGCTGCTAAGGATGCATCCAAAAGCGGTTTGGTTGGATTTTTCTCCCTCTCAGTTCAGGGTGTCTAGTTTCCTCATTTCCTGTTTTGGCTGATTTCCACACACACATAATACCGCCGCACTCCCACCACCCTCACCACCCTCACCACCCAGACACCGAGCTCACCTCCTCCAGAAACTTGGTCACATCGTAGACTTTGTTGTGGATGATGATCCACGTCGATTTGAAGGAGTTCTGCTTCTCTATCTCTGCCAGTCTGTAGTATTTCACTGCCTCGGAGCTTTTCTTCTCTTCACCCATCTGTGCGACGCTGTGCGAGCGAGTTCTGAGGGCTGAGCAGCCTGTCCGAGGTTATATAATCGCAGCGAGGGTGTCAAGACAGTGAGTCCACAAAAACACACCGACATTTACCCCAGAGAGAGTCCACGCTAACTTCCAGCGTTGAGCAAACCCCAGCTGCTGAATTCACCTGAGCTCAGTGTCGCCTCCTGCTGCTGCCTCCAAAATAAAAGCCTTCTCCGGTTAGTGAAACGGACTTCTTCAGAAAGAATGGTAGTTATCAGCAAAAAGTTGAAGTATTTTATTTTCATAACCTTTACAAAATAACATTAAAGTTAAGTAACATAATGCTTCAAATGATTCCTCAAATAAGTGCCCTGATATCTATAGCTTATATATTTCATTGCAAATATGCTGGTGTACTAAACCTATGCGTTTTATTTATTTATGTCGTTATTATTATCATTATTATGCTGCATTGTGCTTTTATTATGAAATACTGCTTTGTAATTTCCGTTGTGCTCGTAGTTATTACTGGTTGCTTTATGATGGTGTCTCAAAGTTCCTGACACACTGGCGGAGACCGCCCTCCCCACCGCTCTCCTAATATGCTATTGGCTTTTCCTTCCCTCCTCCAGGATAATGGTCGTCTGTGATTGGCTCTTCCCGTGCCAATCATCAGTGAGACTATGGGCGAGGACGAGGGCAAAGTTCGCCGGAGTTCATCGGCTGTCAAGGAAACTCACTTCTCACGCAACGGTTCGGGTCTTCTCACGTAGCCCACGTACTGAGATTTTTTTTTCCTAATCTGAGCGTTTCAGCGGGCAGCCGGACATCCGGTTGTAGTCGCAAATCCCATTTGACCTGCATAACTTGGTTAATGTTATGTCATAAGTTGGCATTCAGAGTAGAAAATTTAGACTGATACTGGAGCGGCTCTACGGCGGGAAAACACGCGAACCCGAACTCAAAGTTCTTCTATTAATACAACTCATCACTATGCAGCAAAAAAAAAAAGTTAAATCAGACTAAACATTAATCAGGCATCATGCTCCACTTGTTCTGTTAAGGAGTCGTTAACATGCATTTTATTAAATAGTTATTAATATGCAGCTTGTAAACATACACATATAAACGGCACCCCATCTTCAATAGAAAAGATTTATTTCACTAAACGAAGGAGAGTGAGAGTTCCTCTTCTTCCCTCACCCATCTTTGACTACTGTTAAAGAGAGTTTTGCTAACCTTATATCTTGTATTTACGCTTTTTGAAATGCTTCTTTCTAACAAAACTATTTCCAACAGAAGATAAGTTTCATTTTGGTGTAGTGTAAGCATTAGAACAAGGTTAGTGACTGAGATATTAACTTTAAATTTAAAATTAAAACAATTCTTTAAAAAAAAGCGCAGCTCTAACTTAGCGTTAGCTGCTACTAGCCTATCGATAGCATTAGCTTTTATAGTTTTCAGGTCAGAGGCACAAAAATGTGACAGAGACTGATTTAAAACTTCAGCTTAATGTTTAAAAATGATTATTGTGTTTGCAGTGAGTTTTTAAGTGGTTATAAGGGTGATTTTAAGTAATTCAAGCTCAAACTATAAATATGGATCAACATTAAGCTATTATTTATTATTATTTATTTAAATTATAATTATATCCTCTTCTATTACCTTCAATTTTTTTATCCAACAGTTTTTTGGAGATTATAAAATTTTCTATCTGAGCATTTTTCTTCTGTGTAGGAACTTTTGACAAGTAAATATAAATTAAAGGACTTAATAGATCATTACGTTGACAGAACTGTCATTTCAAAACCTAAAACGTGTCTGTTTGGTCATATTTGGAGTGAGAATCAGTTACTGTCGGCTTATCTAAAGTATATTTTGTCTGGTTGTGTCTTATGAACCTCACAGAAGCTCTTTGAACTCATGTTATGACCCTTTGATGCTAACCCTGGTCATTTCCCTGTGTCAGCAGTGTGCAGGATGAGCAGCAGCCACCAGTCCCTGTATTTCCTCAGTCTTCCTGACCCAAAGCAGCTGGTCTGCGTCACCCTGACTCTGCAGGATGAGGGCGAGGAGCTGAGGAGCAAACAGATCAGGACCTGCAGGTGAACGGTGCAGAGGACAGGCCACCGTTAGTGTCACACCACAGCAAACAACCAGAGCTGAAAGTTAATTTAAACATGTGAAAGGTTCATTTATGCACATCTGATGAGGGAGGACAAGTGTGACGCAGGTGTTCAGGCACTGATGAGCCAGTAGAACCTTAAATGATGCACACGTGTAAATAACATTGAATGTGTGTTCTCACAGGGAGCTGGTTCTGCTGTTCTCTGATCTTCTCGCTGCTCCTGCTCTGGACTCCTTTGCTGATATCACAGTGGTCATAGCTGTAAGGAACACACACACGCACACACACACATGCACACATGCACACGCACTCCTACACTTTTAAGCATCCACCTTTAAACCCTGATGTCAGTTTGCCATATCAAACTAACACTGAGACACTTATTGCTGTCGTTTCCCTTATGAAAGTGCACAAATGCCATTATTAAGAAAATGTTGCATAGTGTAATTAGCTGAAAAGTTATAAAATAAATTTCACTTATTTGAAGTTAAAAACACTACAATGATCCACAGTAGCCTGTGCTTTCTCTGAGCCTGAGCTCATTTAAGGTGGACTGCGGCTGATTGGTAAATCCTGGCTACTGCATTCCCCGTGTTAAAGAGGAAGCCGGCACTCCTGATGGTGTTGAGTGAGAGAGTTAAACAGGTTTTAATTTCAGTTAAAATTTGAGCCCCAAAGCACTGAAAAGACGATAGACTGGGTTTATAGAGTAAACACACTGCTTTCCTTCATGTGTGCTTTTGCTTCTCTGTAAAACTCACTGTTAGTTCAGCTCGAGCCAGGATGACAGAACGACAGCGTTGGGTTGGCTGGCTGACAAGTGGTAAGAAGGTCAGGTGTCCCCTGGTGGACGCTGTCCAGTCCGTCTACAACCGCAGACTTTGCTTCACAAGGCAGACTGGTTATTGGTGTTTGGACCCCTCCAGGGTTGAACTGATCTTATTTCTGGATGAATTTCTTGGTGGAGGGTTCGATGGGCTCAGGATCAATGTCTCTGCTTTTTCCTTATGATGTGGTTCTGTGGCTTCATCGAGGCTCGACCACCAGCTCGCACTGGTGTAACTGTAACTCCACCCTTTTCTCAGCTGGAAAGGGTGGAGGGGGAGAGGGATTGATGCAGTGATGCAGAGCTGAGTGTGAAAGCATATCTGTGGGTATACCTGCTGTTCCACGGGCACCTGTGACCACGAGCTGTGGGTTTTGGACCAAAACAGATCGCAGATATGAGCCTCTGGGCTCAGCATTAAAATGACTGTGAGGAGTTTGGCCTGTTGGGAGGGGCTCAGGGTCAAGAAAGGGACTTCCTGCTTTTATGTCAGAGCTCCTGATGTCGTTTCTATGTGTGAAGCTTCAGCCGCTCCTCTGGTCAGCTGCGGTGCTACGATGTCTTTGCTGGTTAGATTGAAGTTTGACTTCAATCTAACCAGCTGCCCCTTTGTTGGTCTTCCTTGGTCTCTTGTGGTCTGGGGGCCTCTGGATGTCTGGAGTTTTGATCTCCTCCATACCTGCTTCATGCCCTGGAGGACGGGGCTGTGGCCCCCCCACACCCTCTAGCAGATCATTACATGAAGGAACCTTTTAAAAACAAGCGCGTCCATGCTCACAGGTGTACACACGGGTGATCACACCCACAAACTACACCCTTTTTGGCTTCTACCTCAAAGCACACTGTGTTCTGTTGATCTTATGTGCTGCACAATAATGTTTAATATTTAGTATTTACTGTCATATTCCCATATATCATTGTGATGCTGTTTATTCTATTACTCTTGTTCTCTTCTGCTTGTTTTCTTTTTTCTTTCTCAGCAGGTGATCCAGGTGATTGATATATGCATTTTTTTTTTCTGCCCGTTCTGTTGGTTTTTGTCTTTTGCCCTTCTCCCCCGTCCCTCTTCTCAGCTCTTTCTCTTTCCCTCTTTCTTTCTCCCCTTCTTTCCCCCAGTCAAGTCTGTCCCGTATTCAGTAAGTGAAAATAAAATAAACAATAAAAGGTGAATCAAATGGACCATTACGGCAAGGCTGGGATGGTCAGTTTGGTAAAGTAAATCTGTTGGGCATCTTTCTTTGCCTTTAGACAACAATTCTGATGCAAAAGAGCCAAACGGGACAGGCCAAAAAAAAAAAAAAAAAAAAAAAGAAGTTTGACTTGATGTAGCAGAAGCTGTTTCTCAGCTCTTTTAAAAGCAGCAGTGGTTGTTTTGTTTCCTTTGGCGTGTGCGTGATGTTTTTGTGCGGGTGTAGCTTTGGGAGCTTCAGGTTTCTGACTGTTTTATAGATTTTGACTCCGTAAACTCGACAGACTGCACGAGTCGACTCTGTTAGCTGCTTCAACGCCGCACGCACATATCAGGCTCTGCACGCCACCTTAGCCCGCACACACGCTACAGGCCTTTACACACACACACACACACACACACACACACACACACACACACACACACACACACACACACACAACAAAGGCACTCACTCTCAGAGCAGATAGTAATCAGTCCTGACAGATGTGATTTGTCCCTCCTGCTCGCAGTGATGAGTGTTTCTCAGAGCAGCAGCCAATCAGGAGATGTGACTGACAGATAACAGCTGCTCAGCTTCAGCCAATCAGCCCTGTTTTCTTTAACAAAATGACACAATCGAGGAAAAGTGACACCAGAGCCGAGCTCTCAGAGATGCTCTGCAGCCTCAGCTTCCCCACGTGCACGTGAGTGCACATGACGTCAGCCGGTCTTCAGCCTGCCAAAGACTGCGCGATGTGCCCTTATCTCGTCCACTCACCGTTAACGATTGGACGTCGTATTCTTACCTTGTGCGTGATTATTAGCAGAGTTTCCTGTAGCACACAGGTCTGCTCGACGCTGTGACACACAGTTTACTTGTTGCTGTTTCCTGTGCAACATTTCACACCCGCAGCTTTTAACAGAAGACCTCTGATGTGAAACATGTTGCAAAAGCAGCGACGGGTCGCTGTTGACCTGGTGGATGGTAAAAGCAGAAAACAGGAGAAACTCAGTGTTGTGGTTGGAACGTGCACATCTATTAGATTGAAACGCTGATGCCTG